TCTTAGTATATCTATCAAATCAGGACTCCCAGGCAGAGAGTCAGGGGAAAATACTTTCTTTCTGGGTCTCAAAGGGGCCTCGGAGGCTGAGCACTGTCAAGATGAAAGCAGATCTGTGTCTTTATGACTATATGCGCAGAAAGTAGGTACTATGTTGTAGTGAGCACCAGGTTCAATAAACACAGGCATATGTGAATGAGGACTACACAATAGGTTTTATTTTGGGGTAGTAAACTACCTCTGCAGATCCTATGCCTGTCTCTCACTGACTAACAACTACTTAACTGAGGGACCATCTCCCAATTGTCAACATCCCCTAAATTAGGGAGCGTCTTTAAATTATAACTTTTATCATTACATCTTCCCTATTAACAATAAGTACAGAAGTCAGTGAATTCACCTTTACAGAGAAGAGGTTATTAGCATGCCACTCTGGAGTGAGTCTTTAGCATTCACTTTCCTCTTCCCCCTTTTCTGCAGCTTTTTTAATAAGTCTCTGTAAGCGCATCGACATGTGCACCTTAGTGCATATTAGCCTATTGTAATGCACATTGAAGCATTGCAAAAAAAAATGTGCCTTCACTAATGTGCATTAAAATAGGCTAACACGCCTTTTTCTAGTACCTCACAAAGGAGGTACTAAATATAATGCGCATTACCAAAAGCTCATTAATAAATGGGCAGACGTCCCCTGTGAGCCTGTCAGGTTTAACTTTCTTCCCCCACTAACAAAGTATCAGATCCCGTTTCTGTTTTGTTTTTGGCAGGATGCTTTTCCTCCAGGTTTTGATAGATTTGAGTCCTTATACTGAGATCTGATTGACTTGCACTTTTGGCAGCTGTGCTTCTCCACATAGCACAAAGTTAATTAGCTACGGGCTACTGAGGCTGATTCTCTCTTCCTACATGATAGTATTTGCATTTCTGTCCATAGGTACATTTCTTCCCAAATGTAAGAGTGAGTGAGTGTTGGACTCACTTTCGGTATCAATTTTAATTTCCTATATCCATACTCTGGTAAAATATTAGCCTGAGCTCCCATATCCATGGTTCCTTGCAATTCCACTGGCAAAATGCAGTCTCTCTTATTGATTTTTCTTGATTGTGCCATATCTATATAAAATTCCTCTGATATGCTCTCAACTGGATGCTCTTGAAATTCTTGGCTAAGTACAGACGTTCAAAAAGCTCCTGGCAGAAATGCTCTATCATGCTTATCTTAAAGCGCTATAAGTGAGAGCATGAGAGAGCCAACCAGATGTTCATTGCTCAGTGGTGAAGGAGAGGGAGCCTGCCTGTACTGGCTGCTGGGGGCACTCCTGCATGCCTCCCAGGAGGCCAGCAGGACTGTCAGCAGCAGCTGGGGGGAAGAGAGACCCTGGACCTCTTCCCTGTGGCCTTCCCAGCCAGGCAGTGGCTGGCTGGTGCCTGTCCAGAGCTGCTCCAGGGTGGGGGGAGTGACCCCAGACCCTGCTCCTTGTATCACCCTTGCCCACGTGCAGCCCGGTGGGGGCAGCTGTAGGGAGGGAGACCCCAGAGCCCTTCTCCCTCAGCCATTCCTGCCAAGCAGTGGCATGCTGCAGCCTGGCCTGTGCTGCTGTGGGGGGAGAGATCCTGGAGCCCTTCCCTCCTTACCAAGCAGTGATGTGCCAGTGCCTGGCCCAGACTGCTGTGGGGAGGGAGATCCCTGGAGCCCTTACCCACCAAGAAGCAGTGGATTGCAGGGCTGGGGCAGTTGCCTCCTGACCCCTCCAGCTAGGTTGCTCACTTTGGGCTTAAATCAGAGGTTGTCACTGATTAGGGTCAGTGAGAGCCAAGAGGGCAGGGCCAGCCCTGTGCTTGGGCAGAACAAACAAGCTCTGCCCAAGGCTAGTGTGCAACCATGTACAACATCACCTGAGATAGTGGTGATCATGCTGTGGGTTAACCCTCAATGGGATCTGGCACAGACATCTGATAAAGTGCTCAAACAGAAACCGCTTTAGGTTAGTACACATCCATCGGGGTTAACTTAGAGTGCGAGTCGCCATTTTTAAAGCACTATAAAGAGCCATGAGCTCTGTTCAGTTATAGCTTTAGAGCGCTTTCTGCCTGCTTAACGTGTGATATATGTAATGTCTGTACATAGCCCTTGTGTTAGAGATCTGCACCACCTGGCAAAATAGTTCCTCTTGTAACAGTCAAAGCAGAGCTTTTCAAATGCAGCACAACATTCGGGTCCATGTTGCCTTCCAAACTTGGTGCATGTTGGCCCTTTTGCTCTCCCATCTTTAGCTTATTACTTGCTAAAGAAAATCCATTCTATGGGGTGATTTCTTCTGGCCGTATGCTTTCCGGCCTACTGCATGAACAGCCCAATTTGGTGCATTCAGCTCTTCAGCCTGGGCTTTCATAGTTTCTCCTGCCTTGCACATTGGGATAGTTTTTTCTAGAGACAAGTATCCCTCATACAATAGTCTTTCTTGGAAAGCAGTGTTTGCAATACCACAAGTAATCAGAGATTCCTTTAAGTTTCCAAAAACACAGTTCTTAGTCTCTTTAACTCAGTAACATACTGATCCATACTTTCTCCTGTTGTTTGTTTGCATATAAAAATGTGTCTTTCAAGGATCTTAGTCTTTTTTTGTATGTCCTCAGATTGGGACAGTATTATACTTAACTGCATACTATGGCCTTCTTTGAAGGTAAAAGGATTATAAGCAGCTAGGGCTTCCTCCCCCACGACACACAAGATCAAGAATTTGATTTTGTCATTTTTCTCTTGTGCCCTGGTAGCTATTAAGTACTCCACCAGCCTATGTCTGAATCCCCTCCAGTTTTCTGCTATGCGGCTTGACAGCTGAAGGGCAAGTGAAGGTTGCAAAACTCCCATGACTGATTGTCCTTATACTTAACTGTGCAGACAGATCATTTACAGAGGCCTGTGTCCTTCCATGTAGCTACATTGCTCCACTTACTCTCAAGTTCCAACTTCTTCTGTTTGGATCACAGTTTTTTCATGTTCATTTTTGTTCACCACTTACACCATGTAGCAATCACAGGGTTCAATAAACGCAAACACACATGAGTGAGAAGAGATGAACAACAGGTTTTATTTTGGATCAGTAAGCAACCCCTACAAATCCTATGTCAGTCTCTGACCAAAAGCTATTTAACTGAGGTACTACCTCCCAATTACCTCCCAAATTGGGAGGGACCACTTCCCAATCTAGGGACCTTCCTCTAAATTAGGGAACATCTTTAAATTATTACTTTTATCACTATACCTATTATTCTTGGGGGCTATAGCAGAGGTTTAGATAGAATCTTCTGTGCCCTGGGCAGGAGAATGGCTTGTGTGCATGTGCAGGGGTGTATGTGCATATATGCTTGTGCTGAGTACCAGAGAGCAAACTGAGGGGTGCCAAGCTGGCAATCAAACTATGAGTTAACCCTCAATGGAGTCTGGCACAGACATCTGCTAAAGTGCTCATATAGAAAGTGCGTTAGGTTAATACACATCCATTGGGGGTTAACTTAGAGTGCAAGTCACCATTTTAACTCTAAGAACCACGAACTCTGTTCAGTTATGGCTTTAGAGTGCTTTCTGCCTAATTAATGCGTGATATATGTAATGTCTGTACCTAGCCCTTGTGTTAGGGATTTGCATCATCTATCAAAATAGTAGGGGTGTGCAAAACAGGCTATATTTGATTCGGATTTGGCCTGAATCAGGGGCAGTCATTCGATTTGTTGATTCAGATCACTGTCCCTGATTTGATTCGGCTGGATCCGAATCTGAAGATTCGGTGCTGATTCGGAGAATCAGTGATTTGGCCATAGACACAGCTTTAAATGTTTTTTCTTTTACCTCAAGGACCAGGTGTGACTCATGAACGCTGTGATGCTGGGGTGGATGGAGCATCCCACAGGAGCACAGGAGGACCCCCTGTGTGCTCAGCAGCAAGCCCGGAAGTGCTCCAGAAGTACTTCCAGTCCACTTCTAGGTCTGCCGGGGAGTGCGTCGGGAGCCACCCCCCTGCACCCCCTGACTTGGTGATCGGCCATGGGGGGACCTTGGGTATCCTCCCAGACCCAGGAAGCACCAGTCACTGAGGCAGGGGGGCATGGGGGCCCCCTGCGCACTCCCCAGCTGACCTGTAAGTGGACCAGAAGTGCTTTTGGTGCACTTCTGGGTCTGCTGAGTGCACTGGGGACCCCCCTCTCCCCCTCTGCAATCCTGAGAGACACTCCATTTGCCCCAGCATCACAGTGTTGGCGAGCCATCTGGTACCTTGAGGTATGTAGAAAAAATACTTAAAGCTGTGTCTATGTCTGAATCTCCGAATCTTGCTGAATCTCTCCGAATTGATTCAGAGGGTTTCAATTCGATTCGGAGAGATTAAAGGGTTTCCCGATTCGATTTGGATTCAGAGATTTGGTCATCAAATCGGGCTGAATCTCCACCAAATCGAATCAGGGGCTGAAGCTTTGCACAGCCCTACAAAATAGTTCCTTTTGTAACAGTCAAAACTGAGCTTTCCACTGCGTGGTCTTCCCAGGGACTGCTATTTGGGCAGTCCCTCTAAATTGGCAACTGGAGCTAGTGCCCTGCTTGCCCCCCACACACAGTTATATTACTGGCCTGTAAGGTTGGACAAATTGCTAACCAGGAGTTTTAAGGAAGTATATTTTGGACTTAAGTGCCCACAATGGCAGCACCTAGTCTTCTGTATCCTCCTGTGGCTTGAGCCTGTTGTGCCAGGGTGCAGTCCATCTTAGATTAAAACATCAAAAGTTCAGACCTTGCAAGTTGTTGAACAGCTCCTCAGTTCTCCAGTTGCAACTGGTGGGACTTAAGTACGCACACAGTGGCTTACAAGATAGGGATCTGAACCTCTGAGTGCACCAGCACCTTTTGTCCAAGCCGTAAGCTTTCCTTTTGTTTGGCGCACATGCTAGGGTTCCATTCCAGTTCTAAACTGAAGGTAATCATATCCCACTCTTGTGTTTCCTTGCAGACAACAGCCTCAGATTCCAATCACCACAGGAACAGGTGTTGTCTATCCTGGTGCTATTACCATGGCAACTACCACACCATCACCTCAGATGACATCTGATTGCTCTAGCACTTCTGCCAGCCCTGAGCCCAGCATCCCTGTCATTCAGAGCACTTATGGTATGAAGACGGACAGCGGAAGCCTTGCTGGAAACGAAATGATAAATGGAGAGGATGAAATAGAAATGTACGAGGACTATGAGGATGATCCCAAATCAGACTATAGCAGTGAAAATGAAGCCCCTGAGGCAGTCAGTGCCAACTGAGGAGTGTTTGCAGAATTAAAGTACTCTGACTCATTTGGGGTTTTTTTTTGTTTTTTGTTTTTTGAACAAAAAGTTCTTACAGAGCCTGCATGCATGTGTGGCTCCTACAGTTCCATCAGCAGAATGGTCTTAAATGTTTCTTATCGTGTGAGACAGATTGTTCCCTAATTTTTCATGAACTTTTTTTTAATTTAGGTGAAGACATATATTAAATATCAGGCATCAGGACTTGAAAACTTATATGAATCAATAGCTGTCTTACAAGTCTTACCTTTTGTCTTTTTTTTTCCTTTTGGATGCTGATAAAGGTTTAAGTTACTGTTTTAGATGGGGGTTCTACATTCTCACTCAGGTATGCTGTGCCAGCCTACAGGTTGTGAATGTGTTTTTATTCTGGATTATTTTAGAAAACAAAAACCGCCGATTTCATATTGTGAAACAGAACAAGTCTGCAAGTGTGCGCATCTGTGCATCATAGCTCATCTTTTAAACAAGAAAAAAAGTCTCTGAATTCCATTTTTTCCACATGTATAGCTAACTTCTGATGTGCCAAACTTTTCATAACTTTTGAATCTTAACATTTTAAAACAAAGTCTTAAGGGAGACACTGTAAAGTCTTAGACAATCCTTTGGCATCTTAAAAAATATAGTGAAAACATAATTTTTTTTCCAGAAAATGGTAAAGTACTCAGGAATCTGGAGACAGGATATTCTTAAGTAGTGAACATGGTTGCCACAGTGCATGTGCCCAATTGCTTTTGCTTCTTGATTGTGCCATTAGTGTGACATATTAAGTAAGCACAAAAGAGCGATCACCAGCTATGGACAGGCCTGTCTTAGCAGTGTGAGGCCACCTCTGACTACATTCTCTGTCCCTTTGCTTTTAACCCTTGCATTCAGTCTTAATACATTTTCTCTTAATTAATTTATTCATTCCAGAATGTCAAGGGTCCAAATACTTAATATTTATTTTTAAAAGTACTGTTGGTGGCATTACACTTCCAATTCCTTATCAAAATTTTAAAAAGCCCTTTCCCATTTTCCCCCCAAAATATGCAGGTGCCATAAAATAAGAATGCACCTGTTTCCAAAATGAAAATAGAATATGTGAATGGGAAAACTGATTGTTTCCGTAACACTGCACATATAAACAACATCTGGAAATGCTGTACTGTATGTAATACAAAAAATAATGCTTTTAATATGTACATATAGTACAAGAATTCCTATATATCTATGTTTATACTTAGGTAACACTGTACTACTCTAAAGTATGCAGATATGAACAGCCAGTGGGGACTCATACCCTTCCTCTTCAGTAGCTGCAGGGATGAATTTGCACTGTACAATCCTGCAGTAAATCAAGGTTCCAGTCACTGCCATCCCCATTGTCACCTGTAGGAACTTTTTGCTTTCTTCCATGTATTTATGCAGTGATTTATATGTGACATTCTTGGATGGGTTAAGAGTGAGGGGGAGAGAGAAGTCACAAAAGTCTAAATGGGAAAGCAAGGTAAATGGGGCATCATAGTATAGTCATCAGACATTAGTCACATGGGAATGGGACCCAGAGCTCCTGATTTCCTTTCCAGGCTCACTCATGCTCTGATGGTATGACTGTGAGCAAATCATTTAAGTCCCAGTTCTGTAAACCCTTAATGTATGTACCAAAATGTAAGTTTGCTCTCCTAATGTATATGCTTGCAGATTTTCAGGGCTTCCATGTTTTCAACCATAAAGTGAGGATAATGATAATTCTTAATCTCACAGTAGTATTGTTGGACTTGACTAATGTATGTCAAGTGCTTTGGGATGTTTGGCTGAAAGAAATGACAAGGTAGTTTTAAATTATTGTTATAAACATCGTAATTAGAAAGACAACTTTTGCTTAACATAGAGGGGAGATTGTTCTGAGGTTTAAAAGTTATTGAATGTCACACCCAGAAAAAAAGAAAAAAATTCTCTGACTTCTTCACTCCCACACTATTCTTATTATTTACAAAAAAATCACTGTAGTATGGGCCTGATCTTGTACATGTGCTAAGCATTTTCAGCTCCTGGGGACTTTATTGTGCACCTTGACAAAGAACTCAGTAACCTGCAAGGTCAGACAGGAGCAGATAAATGTGTATGGGCCTGACCCAGTCTCTACCAAAGTCAAAAGGAATCTTCCCATTGAGTTTCAGGTCCCATATGACAAAATGGGTGCAGTATTAATGCAGGTTATAGTCATACCATCACACAATCTTGCAGAAATTCCTGTCAGACCAAATGGTGAGGTGGTATGTTGTGATTTGTCATTTCCCCATCGCAGCTGCAGAAATACCTGTCTGGGCAGAGATAGCCAGTGTCACCACTTTAGGAATCGCATTTAAATGTGCAGCAAAAAAAAAAAAAAAAAGAAAAAAAAAAAAAAAGAAAAAAAGGAAAAAGGAGAAAAAAAAGAAGATTGTTCAGTTTACAGGACAATTCATAAAGATAATAGAAACACAATGGTCAAATTTCTCTGACCATTTGGTGATTTGGAACAAAATACTATATTTTTACTATTTATTTAAGCGTGTTCTGAGTCCATGTTGAATAAGCAATAAACTGGTCTAGCCAAGACTTTAAAGGCATATGTTTTGTCATTAGCTGGTGAGCGCCCTCTTTAAGCTGGCTAAGGTACTGATAGAAAGTGTTTTTGGTCTTAATATTGCTTGGGGATTTTGAACTGTTTTTAACACATCTAGCTTGGATTTGGGGGGAGGGTACCATTATTTCCTAAAAAATTACTATTTATTAATGTTTTACAGAATTCTCCAGTTATAAATATCTCTCCCTCCCCCTGTGTCATTTCTTTTCTCTTTTTTTCCCTTCTGGTTTTGTTGCATAGGTAGAATGCTCTATTGCTAGCATTGTATTTTATGTAATTATTTTTGCACAAAGGCAAACATTTAGATTAGTAGATTAATTTTTTTAATTTTATGACCATGCCAAAATAATATTCTGCAGGCTGGTGGAGAACAAAGGACTGTTCTTTAGGACTGAAACTTGATTTTGCTTGTAGTACAAAAAAACACACACTCACAGATGTTGTTTCATAAGTGTTATAAGCACTGGATATAAATGGTATTTTTTATCACTTCTGACTAATGTGAAACTGTTGTACGAAAACTACATGAACAAAAGTCATCTGTTTCGACTCGTGTGGGCCTGCCTCACAGTTGCCGGATTTGAGTCATTTTATGTCTTGTTATTTCATTTATTTATGCAAAATACATGTATGTATGAACACTTTGTTTTAGCTCCAGTCCTGCCTCAGTGCTGATGATCTGTAACTTAAGGCCACATTCTTAAAAGTGATTGGCTATTCAGGAATCACCAGATTGTAAAAACTGCATTTACTGGTTGGGAGAGTGGGAGGGGAGTATTTGACTCTAAATTGTGAATATAATCATGTTGTATTTATTAGTCGGCATTGACTCTAAAATGTCAGTGGAAATCATGGAAGGACAATCATAACAAACATCATTTTTCTTATATTAATCGGAGCTCAAAACAAAGTTTGTGATGAATTTACCATCTCATTTTAGATTTTTTTAAATTGTGTAAATATAACATAGGAAATAGAATTTTATTTTTTGTTCATGGATACTTAGTGAAGTATAAGTTATGTATTTACTTTTGTTCTATATCAGTGTATGTTGGTCCATATTAAATGCTGACAAATCGCTGTACCTCATGTAGATGCTGAATTTACACCCGCAGCATGAGAGCAGTATTGTGGACCTGTAGCTGGGACAGCAAGATGCCTCACTTGTGCTCCCACTGACTTTGGATAATCCCATTTTCCACAAACACAGAATACTTTTTTTTCTTTTTCCTTATGAAGGAACATACAAATTTTCCAACACAGCTGGTAGGAAATGCAATTTGTTTTGCAAATCCAAGCAAACTGACAAAATAGCTATATTTGTATAGGAGCTAAACTAACACAAATGGCATATTGGAGGCTAAAAAAAATGTGCTTGGGAGGATTCTCATCATTAAGAGAGTCCTTGCCATGCTAATTAGATATAATAATGCTAAATTGGTTTATTTCTGTGTTCATTATGTAATAGAGTTGTCAAATCAGGAGTTGATAACAGAGAAAACTCTTCACCCAATATGTAAAGAGGGCTTGTGGGATTTTTTTAGCATTGCGTTTGGGTCCCCCAGAATAATTCTGATTAAAAAAAATTAGTATTAATTCCATTCAGGTAATGAGCAACTATAGTAAAAACTATTTTCATTGTGAACAGATGCAGTTATACAGTATATTTAATTAGCAGATACAATATATTTTCTTTCTGGAAAGTTATAAAAGAGTTATTTTCAAGAGAAGAACACTCCTGAAGCAGTCTGTTACCAGCTAAAATTAAATAGTTCACTTCACTTGGTCTTTGGCCAAATAGAAAGCAAAATCTTAATGGAAACTAACCTCTGGTTTGCAGGGTACAGCTTTACATGGAAGAATGACTGTCATGAGAGTGTCCAATTCTGACCCGCTTAAGCATTATGTATTACCAGCATTCATGTATCTCCATTTAGCTGGTGGAGCCAGAAGCTGAGAATGCATGGGATTAGATATGATCAAGAACGGGTGTGCTGAGGTTAATCAAGAGGTGGGGGAAGGCAAAGGAGAGAGTTGTTATGGGGTGGGAAATGCAAAACAATATGGCGACATTATTATTTAGTGAGGGTTGCTCACAGTAAATGCTACAATCTATAAAGAGTACAGAAGTCAGATGAAAACAATTTTGGATTCGTATGTAAACACAAACAGCCTCTAGGCATCGTCCCCTAAGGGGTATTGCTTTGTCTTGTTAAATATGTTAAATTTCTCAATACGTTATAAGAAATCATTTATTAGCAAAAATAAATAATTTATGCCCCCTCCCATGAAACACTTAAGAACCTGCTCAGTGTTAAGCATACGAGGTGTTCCATTGGATTCAGCACAACCAGGAATGTGTGTTGAAACAAGCAGGTGCTTAAATCTTTGACTGACCATGGTCACAGTGCTAGTAACTGCACTCAAGAACCCACCAGTACAATGGACAATGCAGTTCTTCATATTTTTAATGGGAAGTTGACAAATGGTCTCAGACCCTAGGTATTTGCATGCTTGTTTAAGGCTCAAGTTGGCACTAAAGCATGTTCTTTTAAAAGAATAATACTATGTGACCTCATTTAATCTTTTACAAAACACTTGCTCTTTTTCCTTATAAAATAACTTCTCCCCAAAAGTTTTTATAGAAACCCATTAATAGCTGTGCTTTTTCTCAGCTCATACTACATTTTTAATATACTGTCAGGGTCTTACTACAGAACGAAAGCATTAAGGTAGATACATAGGCAAGTATATTTCATTTTGACTCCACTACCCTTCTTTTAAGTACCAGATACATTTGAAAAAAGTGACAAAGTAGTATTCTGAGAGTTCACACATTGGGTGCAATGGGGTGGGATGGGTTGGGTAAAGGAAAACTTTTCAAATTGGCAATATGAAAGCTCAAAAAGCAACTTTGTAACATGGCTTGCTTTAATTTCTGCTTTCCTAAAAACAAAACAAAACAAAACAAAACAAAACACAAGTGAGGTCCTTGGTGCTCTTGGAGTATGGGGAATGTGCAAATATTTAACTGTTTGTATGCTGCACATTGCAGACCTGCTAGTGTGCATTCTCCGTTTGTCTTCCTTTGTCATTTGTGTTTTGCTTTCTCGAAAGCACCGTTTTTTTCCTTGTATCCTCCTTCAGCTTGTAGCAAATTAGGATGCTTAGCATTTATGTTCATTCATTATTGTATTTGCCATGTAAAAATTTTTTTATTACATTAAGACAAGCTTATAAGCTGTTACTACATAACTTATCTTACTGTAACTCTTATTTCCTGACATTGTAATTTGTTTGTGATGTATATTGTGAGATTGTACTCTATGTTAATTTAATCAGCACAATTCACTGACATGCTGGACTGACATGCTAGCTGCTGTTTCAAATTGTAAAGTTTGTGTAGAGCTGTTGGGACAACTGAGATTCTCTTGTCAAGGTACTATGCTTTGGTTCCTATAGCAACACTGTGGGTGAGGCTCTTAAAGTGGTAGGGCTGCTGTTTAGACACCCACTAGCAAATTTAACTGGCAGGTTTTCTTTGTAGAAATTCTATATACAATGCAGGTACCTACTTGGGCCCATGGCTGGTAATTATTTGGGCGTTTAGAGGAAAAACTAGTGTCTATTGCTGCTTTGAATATGTTTTAAAGTCTGAAAATGTAAATAGTTTATCAAAAAAAATCTTGTACAGTCCAGTGTAAAGTTTTTAAATGAACTTAAAGGTTGCCATCACATCTTTCTCACACTCTCCTCTTGATACAGTAAAAAAGAAAAAAAAAGTTTGCTAAGGATATTGATTAAAAAAATCTGTTCTCGATTTAAAAAAAAAAAAGAGAATCATTATTCTTAGCTTTGCTTCATTGCATAAAGAGACTTCTTGGATTTTGTTGTGCAGTATTGACGTGAGGTAAACTAAATATTAAATAATCTTTCAGTGGTACTTTTAAGAGTCTTCTCCTCCTCTGCCTCAGTAATTAATGGAAAAGACAAAATTGAAAGACACTGTCCTTATTCAGTATATTCTGGTGTATGTTGGCACCTTACCTACATGTTTGGGGTGGGGTGGGGGGGGATTTTGTTTCTTTTTTATTATTTAGATTTTTTTTTTTTTTTTTTTGCACAAGGTGCTTTCCTGATATGTTAAACATGTCATCTTTGGGTGATACCGGATATGCCATGATAGGGGTTTGGACCCCTCAGGGGAGTGTCTATAAGACTGCCTATTTATGCTCATTTACCTCAAGACTGTCCTCTCTACCCTTAATCTATTCACCATCACTCCATCTTTTGTACTGCTGTTGACACTTACAAATTAAAGATAAATTTTGTTTTATGATGCGTGTGGCTATTTATCTGCCTCTCCTATTATTTCTTTTAAACTTTGTCTGTCTTTGAGTTAATATCAGAAGGAATTGCAGTACAGGAAGAGACTACCTGGCCCAATCAGTCTGCCCCCTTGAAGTTTATCAGCATCACTTTCCTGCTCTTCACTGTTTTCTCAATCCCTGTGTATGCCACAAGGCATTTATCTGACTCCTAAATCCATTAATGCTATCTGCCATGATAGACTTCCTTGATAATGTCCTCAGTGTGCATTATGGTCTGTAAAAGCAGAAAATGCTTGTGGAAGCATTGTAATCCAAGATGGGTTTTTATCAAGTGGAAATGAGACAAAACATGTCCCCGCTTTGAGACAAAACACATCCCCACTACTTCTCTTTTTCCCCCTTGAGATATACTTAAACAAACTATCCAAACTTGACAACATGAAAAACTATAGGGCCATATTGCCTTATGTGTGAACTGCTCTCCTTTCTATATTATGATTAGCTTTTGAATGAGTATTTTCTTAGTCATAGTTTTCAAAGGAAAAGAGTAAATTACACTGATGTGCACTATAAAAAATATAATGTAGTAGAGAATTCTGGATGTGCACTACCTCAGATTTCAGGCCAGTTTTAGTTACTGAACAAGCCAAATACCCCCATATGTCCAAGAAGGAAAGCATCTTTATATCCCTGGAGACAACATAATACACATGCTTATTAAAAAAGGCACAAGTAATGAAAGCAACATGATGAAATATTTTAGAGTTCTGTGTAGCTGCCCATGAATTCTGACAAGAAATTAGTGACTTGCATGGTGTCAGGATTTTGTCATTGACTCATAACAAAAGAGTTATCCTTCTGCAACCTCAATGTCAAAGAAGAAAAGGCCGCATAACAACTTCACTTCTACTTCAAATGCACAGCAACTCTGTATGATGTGGAAATTACTGTTCTGATTTTGAGATCAAAGACCTTGACAAAGAAATGGAATAAGCTAGTGCAATCGTGGAAACCTGTAGCTAAGGCCTACACCTTTGTTACCAGGCCTAAATTTGAAGCACCCATTGCAGGCACAAAGTCAAGGCTCTAAGGCAGTTTACACCAGTTGAGAGTGGAATCTTAGCCTTAATTTGACATTTCCTAACTCTTATTGGAAGATCTGAGTTTTTTCTTTGCTATCACTTACAGCTGAAAATAATGTTCATTGAGAGAGACAATCCTGGAAACAGTGAAAATGTGCTGTCGGTCTGGCTGCCATGCATGTAAATAAAGAGCACAAGGAGGCAAGGAATAGGTTTATGAGAAGCCATGATACTGAACATTAGCAACCAGAAAAAAATACTTCCTTGAGATACAAGGATTAGCTAGTCTGACCTATGCACCATTGAAGGCACAATGGCTGCAGAACAGCAAAAAGGGTCTGTTTAGCTAGCACCCGGCCAGTGTGCACATCCCCTGATCATGGGAGGAGCAAAATGTGAACCAGTATATGGCATTGAGTACTCTGCAGAATCTTACCCTGCATCATCAAATTTCATTATGAGATGACCACACTTCTCAGCATCTTTGTCTCATATCACTTTAGTCTTAAATTTATGTAATACAGTCTTAAGTGCTAATGAGTTCACTAATAACACATTGCTACCATACGACATCTGTCAAAGGCCTGTATCATAGTGCTTGACAAACATTAATTAAAGCTTCCTAGCACCCTGTGAGAGATTCAAATATTGTTTCTCCCTATTTATTCAGGGAGAAACTAAGGCGTGGAGATGGTTTTTTGACGATCAAGAGGGTGGTGATAAGTTTCAAGACTAGAGCCGGGAGCTCCTGAGGCCCAGTTTTGTTTTCATACCTTAAAACACACTTCCCCTTAGACTAGAAATGCAACTGGGATCTTTAACATAGATTTTACTCGTGAGACATAATGACCGGTTCCTTTGGTGTCATTATCTCTAATGCGCTTTTAAGATTTTTCTGAATTAGAAAGTTCCAGATGAGGTCCTGCTTTCTCATTGGTTACTATGCTGGTATTTTTCCAGCAGTTAATTATTAGAATGATAACCAAATTACAGTAGTTGGCACAGGGGAAAAAATAAAGTCATTGATTTATTTCCTTAATATATGGTTTATAAGAGCAACTGTGAGATTCCGGTTGTGTCTTTCCCAGCAGTTAATAATCTGCTGGGTTAAGGGCCTTCAAATACTGTTGTTGGTCATTAGCTGCCAGGAAGTGTCCTTCCTGTCATCCATTATTGTTTAATTGTATCAAGTCCCACTACAGTTGAGGACTGTTAAATCTGTGGATTAATTGTACTCTGACCTCTTAGTAGTTCTAATAATCTATCATATTAAAGGCCACTGTAGGTTAGCATTTGGATTCTTGACATGACAGCCCATAACAAATTCCTTCAGCGCTGTTCTAGTTTATATTAACACTTCTTGATGATTGACACAGTACAACATAATTACTGTGACAAAATCATTGTGATCAATTGTATTAAGAACTACTTAGGGACATTTTAATTTACTCTGTCACGACAGCCTTTAAAAGCTTCTATACTTATATTGAAGCTTATTTAGAGACTTGTGTGAGGTTTTAGTTCATCACTGAATGATCACTCTATTTTGTTATGGAGTACAACAGGAGTGCTTCAAAATTTTCTCCTCAAATCTTCCATCGCATTACAAAAATCTGCATTTGCTTTAATGGTGTTTATGCCCCTCCATGTGACTAGTTTTTGCAACTATTCTAGCTAATAAATATTCCAGGAGAAATATTTTTTTAAAGAAACAGTAGATTTTAGTGAATGTCAGAGTAATAATCATAGTGAATTTTGAACTTGTAAATGACAATATTTGAACCAAAATTCTGACTCTCGTTCAGCAAGATATTTAATCATGCATCTAATTATAATTTTATGAGTAATATATCCTAAACTTAGGTATATTTAGGATATATATGCTCCTTTATGAACCAGGGTTGCCCAGAGTTGCATTCAGTCACTCAGGAAATAGAAATAATATTATTATATTATTTTGTCACTAGGAACACCAGGACAATGTTGTGCTAGACACCCTACTAACCTAGGACAAATAATTTTTTTCCTGTGACAAAGCACTTATGCTCCACCCTCCCTGTGTTACCAACTAACACTAACGAATGCATCTCAACTTTTTTTATATATTATGCACACAGTTAATTGCTCCCAATCTACAGAGCAAAAACTGTGTACAGCAAGGATTCAGTGAATAATTTTGAATAATGAACAAATTTGAAAAAAAAAAAAGCCCAGCAATTGTTGAATGGACAAAGAGGAAAAAAACCTCAATTCAATTCAAAATATTTGTTCAGTTCTAGTATTTGTTTATAGAAATAATTTAAAGAACCAGACATGAAGTGAGGTCATTCCTTAGCACAAAATCTATTAAACTTCTACTTTCTGTGCAGGACCAAGCGGAAATATAACAATACGGAATACGATTATATGTCTGACTGTGTTATGCTTTCTTTCATCTCTGGCATTCTTGTCTTTACATGTTTTGGCTTGTATTTTTAAAGGTATTTATTATAACACCTTTTTCCCCTTTAAAGATAAAAAGAACAAGCTAATAAAAATACTTAACACTAGCATAGCACTTTTATCTTCAAAGCACTTCGCAGACACTAACTAGTAACAACAGTGCTACAAAGCAACTAAGTATGATCATCCTTGTTTAACAAAAGCAAGAAAGTGAAGTCTATACCAATTAAGGATCATAGGCTATGTTCAGAGCAAGGTTAAATTGAATTGAGACACTTACATCCAAAAGTGTGATCCAGCACAGTTTTCTCCACCCTTCATGTAGCCATCACTTAAGCCACAAGACACACAAATTTCACAGATACTGTTCATTTTTTTTAAATGTTCTTCAAGCAGCTAGTGCTGTGTTCTGCACAGACCCAGGACTATCCACTCTGAACAGCTCAGTGTATATCGCTTGCCTAAACCTTGTTGGGCTCGAGAACCTAGATATTCTGTCACCAAACTCCTCTTCTTTGCTTAGGAAAGGAATTTCAGGCCCTGGTTTACATGCTGACAGGATTTAGATCCTCACAAAATGTGGCCATGGCCACTTTTAAAAACATGGTTGGTGGTGAAACCTACAGTGGCTTGGTGATAAGAATGCTGACTTCCTCAGCAGAAGAGCTGAGTTCCCTTCTTTCCTCTGTTAGACAATCTGACAAGCAGGGTGCTCACCCCATTTGAAAATTAGGCCATTTATATTTGGGGATTTTAAGATGGGTTTAAACCTAACTTTAGCCTCCCAAATTTGAAAATGTGGTGCCCCAGTGAAAGCCACACTTTAAAAAAATAATATTCCTTGATGTGTGTCTGATGTTAATGCAACAATATCAAACCAAAAACAATTGGTCAGGCTGCAGTTGGAGTACTGCATCCAGTTCTGGGCACCGGACTTCAGGAGGGATGTGGACAGCATGGAGAGGGTCCAGAGGAGGGCCACTTGAATGATCAGGGGGCAGCAGGGGAGGCCCTACGAGGAGAGGCTACGGGACCTGAACCTGTTCAGCCTCCACAAAAGAAGGCTGAGAGGGGCTCTGGTGGCCACCTATAAACTTGCCAAGGGGGACCAGCAGGCAATGGGAGAGTCCCTGTTCCCCTGGAGCATTACCTGGGGTAACAAGGAACAACGGCCATAAGTTGAATGAGAATAGATTCAGGCTAGATATCAGGAGGCACTACTTCACTGTCAGGGTGGCTAGGAGCTGGAACCAACTTCCAAGGGAAATGGTGCTTGCCCCTACCCTGGGGGTCTTCAAAAGGAGGCTAGACAACCACCAGCTGGGGCCATTTGACCCCAGCATCCTTTCCTGCCCATGGCAGGGTGTTGGACTAGATGATCTGCTCAGGTCCCTTCCGACCCTACCAACTATGAAACTATGAATCTATTTAGATGGTTTACTAATAAAATACTCCCATTTTACTGCTATTTTTATAGACTG